CCCCAAAACCCCAAAACCCCAAAACCCCGAAAGAAAGATGAGTTTGGAATTGTGTTGTCTGGATTTTTGACAAGGTATTAAATATAATTGAAGAAGATATATAATAAAAGAAATATTGAGATTGAAGAGATTTACTACTTAACCACAGTTATCACAATCAATTTAAAGCAGATGGATGATTCCTTCACTGTGGAGAGTAAGCGATTGGCTTTTTGAGCGTTCATGCGGCGAGTGCGAACTTTCTGGGTCTGAAGTTTGAGTCTCTCTTTTGTTGTCTAACAGTTTTTCTTGTTGTCTCGAACTTAGTCAATCTCTTTCTGAAAGCTCTGGTCTTCTTGAGTCTCAAGTCAAGGGGGGTTCTCTTCTTCTTGTGGTCAACACGGGATTGATCTCTTCTCTTCTCGTTGATCACAGTCAAGACCTTAGCGATAGCTTTTCTCACAACCTAGAGGAATGTTATATAAAGATGAGGATTACTCTTATACGGGCGAGCTTGACTTGGGGAGCGGCGGAAACCTTGCTAACTCTCAATTGGGCCAATTCTTTCTAAAGTAAAACATGAGGGGGGAAGGGAAGTAATTACTCTGAATTTGGTGAGTTCATCAACAAGAGATTTCTCGTCTTTTTGTCTGAGTTCGTGGGCTTTCACTCTCTGCATATTTGTTAATCTAATATATTAATTAAAAATAATGATTGAATTATATGCACCCTATTTATTAATATTTAACTTTTAACTTTATCAATCAATTCCATTAACCATACAACTACCTCAATTAAGCAAATAATTAGAATAATATCTTAAAAATACATTAACTCTCTGTCGAAGAAAGAATGCAGACTCGAAGAAAGACTAGAGTACCAGGCGAGGAGCCCCAAGGTATTCCTTTAAAACCTGGCTAAAGTATGATTCTATCAGTTTTAAGGATTGTCTAGAATTAGGAAAATACTCAGAATCCAAGCTAGGACCCGACAAAGATGAAATACTAAACGATATCTAGAGAATTCAGGCAGAAACTACAGACGTACATACACATTTTTTAACCAATTTAGCTAAACCAAATGCAATGTGATATTAATAGTGATAAAGAAGGAGCTAAAACTAATGAAGATGGGTTTCTCAGGCCTTTGCCTAAAGTGAAAAAGGTATTTTAATGCTCCTTTCGCTGTCATAATTATTCATGAGTTGCTAATAATATTGTGTTCTTATAGGTATTAAAACCTCAACAAAAGGTGATATAGGGCTTAGTGGTGCCTTAGGTAACGAACAAGTAAATGCTTAAAGATAAGGTTGGGGTATCAAGTATTCCCACAAAGATTAAGAGTGGAGTAGCAAAGAGTGTCGAAAGTTCTATGATAGTGGGATCAAAGTTTTCTTACAATAGTAAATTGTTCACAGAAGAAGAGGATGAATATGCATTTGAAAGTCTATATAGATTCATCAAGGAGACTCACATTCTAGCTTTATAGTTGTCTTAATAGCAAGAAAATAGAGATTAGAATGCTTTGATATCAAATTAAACTAACTTGAATAAAAAAGAAGAGTTGCAAAAAACGAATAAAAAAGGAGGGGGTGCGACATAAATTGAATCAGATAGTCATAAACAAAATGTAAATTAATAATTTTAACAACTAATATTATAGAATAATTTAAATTTAAATCATGGCAGAGCTACTGGACAAGGTGGAAATACAAACAAAAAGACTATAATAAGGGACAACTCTCTCCAAAATATCTAAAACACCTTAGATTCTGCTATTTAGCCTTTCAAACCATCAAATAAAAAAGACCCTACTCTGAATCAGGCAATAGTCCAGTAATAATTGGTTTAAGAGTTGTTTGCACTTTTGGTGAGTGGCCAAGCCTCACATACTCACATTGAGCACTATATTTTAGCTCTAAAGGATGCTGGAACTAATGATGAAGAGATCAACTATCTTTTGAGCCTCTAGCATCAAAACACTCTAGAAAACTAAAATATAGCAGTTGATCAAATGAGCGAGCAAGAACTTTTAATAACATAGCTATAACAGAGTGGAGCATCTCCGCTAGAAATCTAATAGCTCTTGATGAGCCATCCTAGTTATCATAATCCTCATACAGCAAACACTCCCTTTTCTATCAATGAGCTATACGAACTTGTGAAGCTTGGGATAGTTCAACAGAGTGCAGTGATGCCTGAATCTATAGACCCCGCCATCTTTAGCAAAATACAAGAAATAGATATGCTTGAGGGGCATGATCTCAATCATTTCCCTCCTGACTATAGGGATAAACTATTTAATGCCATCGAAGAAAGCAAGCTATAATTAGTATAGATATTCTTTCCTCAGAATGTTTAGGCTTCACTTTAATACCCTATGTCTTAGCTGCTTTATTAACCAGGATAGAGTAACTAGATCATTGGACTAGACTAAGGTATAAGTTAAATTATTGGAGCTGATTTTAACTAAAATAGAGCATAAATTAGTGCTTAGAGAGCTGATAAGCCATTTGGTAGAAATGCGAGACATGTAGCTATTGCCTTTCATATAAAAATCTAAAGAATGATAGAATTTGAAAAATAAGAAGAAAATTAGGCCTCGTGAAATAATAATGAGCCTTAAGATAATAATATAAGCTCCTTAGGTTAGAATTAATTGCAATAGATTATTCAGAGTTAGAGTAATAATTAGGGTTAAAACTAATAATCAATAATGTATCAATAAGATGATGTAATCATGAAAAATCATGAATAGTAAGCTTTATAACTGACACTTGAATAGTAAAAGCAGCAACAATAGCTTATAATTAACCACCAAATTACAAATAACTACAATATAATGATAGGTAGCAATGGAGAAGCTTAGGCATAAACACAATAATCGCATCTCATTTAATCATAATAACTAGCTTAGGCTATCTAATGAGTTTTAATTGCTTAGTGCGATCTTATTGTGGTAATTTTTCGATGGGCTCTTTAACAAATATATAGATCAATCAATTTAATCATATAAATTAGTTTACTGACTATTCTTACAAGAATCGGATTTCAGGGGTTTTGGGGTTTTGGGGTTTTGGGGTTTTGGGG